ACCAGTCACTCTGCTGCAATAGTTCTCTGAACTGTCTCTTCTCAAACACCTGCCCAGACTCCTCTCCAGGGATCCTCCCATAGGCCAGTAAGCGCATGAAAAGATGCTCAACATTATTAGTGATTAGAAAATCAAAACCACAAGAGACATTATTTCCACCTGCTAGGATGAATGTCATCAAAAACATAATGACGTGTTGGCGAGAATGCAGAGAAACTAGAATCTTTATATACATTGCTTGTGAAAATGTAAAAAGGTGCAATCGCTTTGATAACAGTTTGGCTACCTGGTTTTAGAGGCCAACCTAACAGCGAATGAGCCAGGGACTTCATGGAACCTGAGGAGGAAGCTGTAGCTGGCATGCAGGTCAAAGAGAGTGACAGTCATCTGCTCTTTGAAGAGGTGGTGGTCCAAGGGAAAAGGAGGAAGCTTGGTCCACTGGCTGAAGACACATGCAGTAAGCAGGTCACCCGCCAGTGTCAGAAGGAGGCAAGGAGCCACTCTCCTGAGGACTGTAACAGTTCATTAAGGATGCACCAGGAGACTACCCAGGGAGCAAAGACCAATGGACGTGGGTTGTCAGGAGGCTGGGCCTACAGAGTGGCCTAAATTAAGTGAGAGAGAGAAAAATTACCATAAGAACTATGCAGTGAATAGAAAACCATGGCAGCTAGGGACCACTTAGGAAAACAGGCTAAATATAAAAGAGGTTTCCTGGGGCCAGATACACTTTAAGTTTCAACTTTATTGCGTTTTTCATAAAGAAAATGACTACTTATATAACGTTGTTTCCATCTGGGAGAAGATAAGCAAACAGAAGTGCTACAGAGGCAAAGAGGAGATCCTAAAGGGAAATGAAGAGACAAGCCCCAAGCCTCCAATGGTGATTACAGAACCTCCATAGAACAGGCCCAGCTCACAGTGCTGCCCTCCTCAAGCCGTGGCCTTAGCTTTATCTCCTTCTCCTGAACTGTTGAATGACTGCATTGTCCCTTTCTGTTCATGCCTCTTCCCGGATTCCTAGAGGTAAGGTCAAAGGCACGGCGAAGTCCTGGAAGGAATACAGGGATAGGCTGTTTCCAGGCCCAGAGGGTCCCGGGAGGACACTGACAGGCAGGAATGCCTCACTGAGACCCAGGCAGGTAGTGCTACCCCAGAGGCCACTAAGAACAGCAGGGACCTCAGCAAGTCCATGTGGGCTGCCAGGTCTGGGAGCTCTGCCAGGGGGGAGGATGCACCTGTGGACAGGTGCATCTGCTGAGAGGAAGGGAAGGTGGTGGGAAGAGAGGGCTAGAGGTTGGCATCACCATTCCGAGTGGCACACTTGAGAAGGGTCAAAAAGGGAATGAAGATGATGTCCTCATGCACTGATTTTCCAAACCAACCCCTCCTGCTCATTTGGCTACTCCTTTCCCTTCTGGTCCTGGCCAACAGGCCAGCCCTCCACCACGGAGTCGAGCGGAAGAAGGGGCAGAGAAAGGAAGCCATCCTGAGATGCACTGAGCTCATCATTCCAGACCTGCATCCTGCCTCCACTTCCCTCTCCGACCAGGCTCCAAAAGAATACCCCACTCTGGCTCAGAATTGGGTTTTCTCTTTCCTTTCCTCATTAACTCCGCCCTCCACGTTACTACGCCCTCATTCTTCCCTTCTCCTGGGCTGGGGCTTGGCTGAGGCGCCTGTGTCTATTAGTGACGGGATGAGAGTGAGACACCTTCAGTTAAAGGGAAGATCAAGTCTGTCAGGCAGGGATGCAATAAAATATAATTTAATATGATGTACAGTTTCCATAAAAATAAGCCACTATCCCAGTAAGAGACTTTACGAGATGAGCTGTCCCGCCCTGAGACATGAACCCTAAGAGGAAAGAAAGAGCACGCAGCACTGAAAGAGCTGATGTAAGTCCCAGGGAAGAGAAACCTGGCCTGCTATCAAAGAAGAGCCCATGCCGGCCCCCAACTGAGGCAAGTCAGTGAGGCCTCAGCTGTGCCCAACTGCAGAGCCCAAATGAATGGCTTCATCTCTCCAGACAGCATGACTGCATGACTGACTCAGACTTAAGGATAACTTGGACACTCTGTCTGTGGCTACAAAAAGAGAAACAAACGTTCTTTGTCTTATCACTTAAAAAAAAAAAATCAAATGTCTACTTACATCTAATAGTATTCTAGATTCAAAAGCTGACCCTAGTCTACAACTACAGGGTTACTTAAAAAAACTGAGATGAAACCTAAATATTCAGTAACATCAATTAAATGAGAGCATTTAATTCCTTGAGAAATCTATCAACATAAAGACGGGCTTATGAAATAATGCTAAGTGAAAAGCAGGATACACCAAATACAATGCTGAAAAACTACATTTATACATAGAAAACACAAATTATTATAGCTGCTAGGGAAGATGGGGTGACTTTTTATATCCACTTTAAAAATGGGGGGAGGGGGAGGAGGAAATTCTAAAACTTAACATTATCATGATTTTTCTTAAAAGCTGGGGTAGAATGATTTTTTAAAATGAATAAATCAAATCAGTCCAGCATTGTCTGGCTGCCTCCAATTACAGAAGAATCTATCACAGTGGTTCTCAACCTTGGCTGCACATTAGAATCACCTGGGAATCTTTTTAAAATCCTGATTTCTGGGCCTCATTCTCCAGAAATTCTGTTTCTTTGTTACTAATGTTGTGGCCTCACACCATAACAAAGAAACAGAATTTCTGGAGGATGAGGCCCAGAAATCAGGATTTTAAAAAGATTCCCAGGTGATTCTAATGTGCAGCCAAGGTTGAGAACCACTGGTCTATCGTCATCCAGTCTACATGAACCTTCTAAAGCACAGCTGCCTCCCATTTATGTGTTTTGTTGACTGCTTAACCATCACAAATCAGCCTATTATGTAACACTCAGTATGTAGGTCAATTAGGTCTCTGTAGATTTTATCAACTTGAATAGGCATTTGGAAAGTCTAAAATGTTGACCTCACAAACCCCCCCCCCCAAAGTATTTCTCTGCACATGGATTTGGTTATATCAGATATCTAGTTATATCTTCTAAGGTAGCGAATAAGAGTGATATCAAGAGAGGCAGCATGAAAAAAGAATGTGGACTTTGGACAGTCTTGGGTTACAATTCTGACTCTACCACTTGGTAGCCGTGTGACCTTGGGGAAGTTATTTAACCTCTCTATGCCCCAGTCTTTTTATCTGTACAATAACAATTCACAGGGGTTGTTTTGAGGATTAGATGAGTTAGTACTTAGAAAGTACTTGGAACATGCCTAGTATATATTAAATGCCCCACAAATATTAATTATCATTACTTATCATGATTTCTTTCACTTTAGCACAGTGTCCTCCATGGACATACTGGGAGCAAATACTTGCACTGCATATATCTGGCAAAGGACTCCAATCAAGAGTATATAAAGAATTCCTGAATATTAATAATTTTTAAAAACCCAATTAGAAACAATTGATATTGGAATGGTCGATAAGCATATGAAAGGGGAATTGATATAATTAGTAATCAGTAATCAGAGAAACAAAAAAAATGAGAAAGTACTACACAGCCATCAGAATGGCTAAAAGGAAAGGTGGAGGATGCAGAGCAACTGGAACAGTCATACTTTGCTGCTGAGAATGCACAATAGTGCAACCACTTAGGGAAATACTGTTTAACAATTTCTGAGTTAAATGTATGTCTACCTTATGACCCGGCGATTACACTTCTCTTTCCTTTCCTCATTACCCAAGAGAAATGAAAGCCTTTATCTACTTGTATAGAAATGTTCAAAGGAGCTTAAAAACGGTAAATAACTCAAATGTCCATCAGTTGTGATATGTTTACACAATGTACCAGGTATATGGATACAGGTAAAATAACATGAATAACTCAAAAACACTGTTTCACAGAGAAACCCAGACACAAAAGGGTATGTTCTGTATAATTCCATTTATATTCTGTTCAAAAACGCAAAGTCAATCTATGGTGAGAGAGGTCAGAATAGTGGTTACCTCTGGCAGGCAGGGAAGACAGTAGTAATGCCTTGAAAGGGTCACCAGGGAATTTTCTCGGGCTCTTAATAATATTCTCAATCTTCATCTGGGTAGTGGCCACATATGCAAAAAGTCATTCATCTGTACCTCTTAAGATTTGTGCACTTTACTGTATGAGTATTGTTTAAAGGGGAGCACTATTAACTATCAATGGAAGAAATGAGAGGCAGTTAACATCTCTAGAGCATCCTTCCGGGTGCAGGATGCCACACCACGTGCTGGAGAGGGCACAGTAGCACACTCCTTCGCTGCTCTCTTGTTGCTTTAAGTAAAATGCAGGAGCCAGGACACACACTCTTCCAGGCAAGCCACTCCTCCGCGAGTTCTCTGCTGGGATTCTGGAGCCTGGATCGTCGTGCTGCGGGGAAGTCTGTATCCGGCGCTGTGCTCTGGGCTTTCCGACCAGGAGGGTCTCACTAAATCCTCTGACAACCCCGTGCGGTAAAACTAAGCACACTTTGGGACGGGAAGCTGGGGACCAAAAAGCTCTTTTCCGCGGACGACGGAAACCCCCCGTATCAATACATCCCAGTATTCCTCCATGTAGCACTTACTAGTAGGGGCGCTCTGGCCCTCACAGACACTTGGTAAATGTCTGTCAATGGACGAAGGTTTACCCAATTCCCACATGTCCACACTAAGGGAAGAAAGTGTTTCATCTGCACCAGGGAACAACCCTGCCAAAGAACTGACGCCACCAGAACCGGCGCATGCGCCCTGACTCGCTCTGCCCGGCTAAAGCGCCCTCACTGCGTCGCACACGGCTCCGCGCAAGCGCTCTCCCTTCGCCCCGCCCCCGCTCCGCCACCGCGCATGCGCAGGCTAGTCGGAGTGTAACGTACCTGTGCAAAGCTGGAGGCGGACACTCTTTTCTTCTTACCCGGGCCATATCCCCCGCCGCTGCTGCTGCCGTTGTGGGAAGGACTGGCTGGCCTCTTCTTGCTGTTCCGGGATATCCCCGGAGCGGCCGCGGTGGCCACAATTGGAATTTGAGCCGCCATTCCTATCCTGAGTCTTCTCCCCCCCCCCCAACCCCCCTTGCTTTCTCTGCAAAGGTCCTGGGACTTCCGGCTCGAGGTTAGTTCCGTCTTAGTGCCGGAAAACCCGGCCTGGATTCGCAGAACATCCGCTGACTTCTCTCTACCGAATCCAAAAGGCGGAGCTCGGTGCAGCCAATCCCGTGGGGACCGGAAGGTGTCTGCGGGCGGCGTCCTGCTACTCCCCAAAAGGGCACGTGCTCGCAAATCCCTAGCGATCAAGGAATAGAACATCTCGCCATCTTTATTTTTAAAAAATAGGTTTTTAAAAATAACCCTGTTGACTTTTCTGACGTGAAGTCAGAAGATGGATCACTTTTGCCCCGGGGGCGTGGCTCAGTGGTTGAGCGTGGACCTATGAACCAGGCGGTCACAGTCGATTCCCCTCAGGGCACATGCCTGGGTTGCAGGCTCAATCCCCAGTGTGGGGTGTGCAATTATTCTCTCTCATCATTGATGTTTCTATCGCTCTCTCCCTCTCCCTAAAAATATATATTTTTAAAAAAATAGATGGGTCACTTTTGATGTATGTAACAGTGAAAGTAGTGTCATTCTGGGTGGATTAGATAGCTACTAGCCTTCCCATTGATCACTGCCTTCTCTCAGGGAAGAAGTTTGTGTGTCAGAGCCCAAATGGACTTGAAGGGTAAACTGGTTCTTAACCTTTTAGAGGTCACGGACCTCTTTGAGTATGTAAGCTAGGCTACCCTCCCTCTCCCACCCCCCACCAAATGTATACAGGTATAGACAAAATATTACATATGATTTCAGGGAGTTCACAGATTTGCTAAAACCTATTTATGAACTTAAGTGGAACATATCCTCCCCCTTGTTATTGATGACTTAAACTGCATGATTTTTATTTGGTTGGTTAATGTCCTTTGGCTTCTGGTAGAATGTAAGATCTGAAGTTATGTTTCATTCATTTATCTTTCCAAGCTCACAGTACCTTGCAAGTCATCAGTACATTATAATTATTTCTAATGAAATAGTTACTAAATCAGTGATGGCGAACCTTTTGAGCTCGGCGTGTCAGCATTTTGAAAAACCCTAACTTAACTCTGGTGCCGTGTCACATACAGAAATGTTTTGATATTTGCAACCATAGTAAAACAAAGACTTATATTTTTGATATTTATTTTATATATTTAAATGCCACTTAACAAAGAAAAATCAACCAAAAAAATGAGTTCGCATATCACCTCTGACACTTGTGTCATAGGTTCGCCATCACTGTACTAAATGAACGAACCCCCTGCAGTAATTAGTTGAAGCTACTGTGTTCTAATACAGGGAAGTGGCATATATGAATCTAGATCAGGGGTCCTCAAACTTTTTAAACAGGGGGCCAGTTCACTGTCCCTCAGATCGTTGAAGGGCCAGACTATAGTTTAAAAAAAACTATGAACAAATTTCTATGCACACAGCGGCGGCGGCAAAAACACCCAGCGGGCTGGATAAATGTTTTCGGCAGGCGGCATGTGGCCCGCGGGCCGTAGTTTGAGGACCCCTGATCTAGATATTTGATAGAAGTGGGCTGCAGAATGACTTAGATATGTGAGAGAGAGAATAGTTAGGGAAACTAACAATAAAGTTACTGACATATTTTCTCTCCATGCCCAGTCTCCACCCCTATTTTCACCCAGATCTAGGCTTCCTTATTCCTTATCTCAGTGGCTGCACCAACCAGCAGCCAGTCACCTAAGCCAGAATCTAGGTCAGTGATGGTGAACCTTTTGAGCTCAGCGTGTCAGCATTTTGAAAAACCCTAACTTAACTCTGGTGCCGTGTCACATATAGAAATGTTTTAATATTTGCAACCATAGTAAAACAAAGATTTATATTTTTGATATTTATTTTATATATTTAAATGCCATTTAACAAAGAAAAATCAACCAAAAAAATGAGTTCATAGGTTCGCCATCACTGATCTAGGTGCTGACCCTGGCTTCCTGGGCCCACCCTTATCCCATTCCAGACAGCCACCCTTTCAGCTCACTCCTCTCCCGCACAACACCTGCCCTAGTGAATCTATCTCCTCTCACCTGGATCCCTACAATAGCTTCCTGATGGAAGTTTGGATTTCCATCTTTTCCTAATCCTCCCCGGCCCTAGGCCATCCTTCACACTGTCTGCCAAAATGGGCTAAATCACAACTCTAATCATACCACTTACTGATATTCACCAGAGCCCTTCGCCTTGGCATATAAGGTCCTTAATAACTGGGCTCTGCCCACTTCTCTTCCTTTATTCCCAACACTTCATTTCCTCTGCTCCAGCCAGGGACTAACTATTTCTGAGAGTACACATTATTCTCTTAACTCATCATATTTTTGTTTCCATTATTTCCTCTCTTAGGATTGTTTAGCTCCTTTGCAACAATTTAGATGCTGCTTCCAATGAAAAGCTTTTTGCCATCTGATGTATCCTCCTTCCCTTCCTTCTTTCCTATTCCCACCCTGCGTATGGCTCTGAGGGCATTGAGTATACAGGGTGCTCTGTTGAACACCTTCCTATAATCCCTTAGTAAATGTTTATTGAGTTCAAACACCAGTTCCTTACTTTTCTTTTTTAATATATTTTATTGATTTTTTACAGAGAGGAAGGGAGAGGGATAGAGAGTTAGAAACATCAATCAGCTGCCTCCTGCACACCCCCTAACTGGGAATGTCCCCACAACCAAGGTACATGCCCTTGACCGGAATCGAACCTGGGACCCTTGAGTTCGCAGGCGGACACTCTATCCACTGAGCCAAACCGGTTAGGGCCCAGTTCCCTACTTTTAACACATTAAGCGCCCTGTTAGTCACCGGTGACTGACACTATACTTTCCGTCTGGAAGACAAAACAGGCTGGGCGCTTAACGTGTTAAGCCTGCCGTGGTCGGCAAACTGCAGCTCGAGAGCCACATGCGGCTCTTTCGCCTCTTCAGTGTGGCTCTTCCTAAGCCTTAGGAGTACCCTAATTAAGTTAATAACAATGTACCTACCTATATAGTTTAAGTGTAAAACATTTGGCTCTCAAAAGAAATTTCAGTCGTTGTACTGTTGATATTTAGCTCTGTTGACTAATGAGTTTGCTGACCACTGTTAAGGAATCAAATACCATCCGGATTCCCATTGCTAAATTCAGTCCTGGTCCTGTCTGATCCCTTTCTTCCTGAAATCCTTCCCTTGGGATCTGGAACACCACCATCCTTTTCTTTTCCTTTTTCCTAACCAGTTGTCCTCTCTATGATAGTCTTCTTCTTCTACCACAGGGTTTCTTATCATACTACAGGTTAAAATATAGGTTATGTAGTCACAGTCCTCCAGCACAGTGGTTCTCAACCTTGGCTGCACATTAGAATCACCTGGGAATCTTTTTAAAATCCTGATTTCTGGGCCTCATCCTCCGGAAATTCTGTTTCTTTGTTACTGATGTTGTGGCCCCACCCCATAACAAAGAAACAGAATTTCTGGAGGATGAGGCCCAGAAATCAGGATTTTAAAAAGATTCCCAGGTGATTCTAATGTGCAGCCAAGGTTGAGAATCACTGCCCTAGGAGATCATTGCATCCTCTCCAGAGTATGAGAGCAGCACTTGTCTTGGGGGTGTGGAGGGGCTAACCCCTCCTTGTTCTTTAGATACCATCTCTCAGGAACCTTCTCTGGTCTCTGTTTCCACAGACAGCCCAGTGAAATGTCCCTACAAGGAGGTGCTCACAGCAGCCTATTTCTTCCATCCCAGACCTTCCTATGCCACGTGGTAAGTACCTGTGGATAGTAGGCTCATTTGGGCAGAGACAGTTTCTTTGTCACAGCTTTGGGGGCATTTCAAGCACTCATTGACGATCTGCTGAGTGCCTCGTTATTTAAACAATCCTTGTCTGGAAGGGGCGAGTTTGGGCCAGTGGGGGCTGGCCCGGGCCCTAATACTCGTATTTGCAGAGCCCAGGCCAAAAATACTTATGTGCCTTAATATTTAAATGTACAAATCAAGCTATTAGACTGTAAAATAAAATAGGTTCTACCTTTCTATCTTGGCAAACGTACCCCCATAATGCAGAAGGCCAGAGTTGGATTAAGAATTCTCAGAATCCCTGGAGTTCTGCTCCAGATGTGGTAGCATGGGAGAGCCATTCCAGTGCCTGGCCACCTTCTCGTTCACGCCTTGCTCCACTGGACATCATGAAGTGACACGTTTGTACATGTGTGGGCACCCCAACCCAAATATCCAACTTCATCCATCTTCTCCCCAACCCTCACAAACAGCCTCCTCTTTACCACATCTTGGGCCTAGGGGTGTACACATCAAACCCAGAGACAAGGTCCACAGAGACTCTGGAAGCAGGCATAGAGCCATTTGGGCAGGAGATTCTGGAGTCCCTAGTACCCAGAGGATGTTCTAGAACAGTGATTCTCAACCTTCCTAAGGCTGCGACCCTTTAATACAGTTCCTCATGTTGTGGTGACCCCCAACCGTAAAATTATTTTCGTTGCTACTTCATAACTGTAATTTTGCCACTGTTAAGAATTGTAATGTAAATATCTGATACGCAGGATGTATTTCCATTGTTACAAATTGAACATAATTAAAGCATAGTGATTAATCACAAAAACAATATGTAATTATATATGTGTTTTCCGATGGTCTTAGGCGACCCCTGTGAAAGGGTTGTTCGACCCCCAAAGGGGTCGTGACCCACAGGTTGAGAACCGCTGTTCTAGAAGGAAGGGTTGGGGTACCAAATGGTCATGTGTCCTTGTCTCCACAGACCCCTTGCTTGGTGCAGAAGGGCATGACAGAAGAAGGCCCTTTTGTGCAGGCGAGGGACCCATCTGTTACTGGGATCGAGTCCTGAGAAGGCATCCTATGAAGAGCATGAGTGAGGGGCAGGGAGACCCTGCTTCCCTTGAAGCTGGGGGGGGGACAGGGAAAGGTGGGTCCAGGTGCAGGCCCATTTTTTGATGAGGTGCCAGGAGGTTTATGTGAGCCTGATTTTCTAAGTAAAGGTAGAGGGAGGATCACCTGCTAGGTGGAGGAAAGGGGGCAGAGGTTTGGGAAGGGTCATAAGTAAGCTTGGAAAAGCCAACGTTTAACAGTAGCGTGAGAGAGGGCTAAGAAGGCACCTGTGAGAAACATACTGGCAGTGCTGATGGCCTGCCATGGCTGCCTGTGTGCACTTGGGTGGGTTGGGCATAGCTCAATCCAGGAAGCAGTGTTGACATCAGCTACAGCATGATGGTAGCCCCTCGTGTTGGCATTGAGCCTCTTGCACACCCACACCTGGGGCCAGGCTCATGCAGTCTTCTCTCTGAATTTTGACCTCAACAGTTACTATTGCTTTGCAAAGTCTGAGCGAGAGAAACTAGTGTTAAGGACCCTCTTGCTTACTGGAATCACTTCTTAAACCCATGACTGTTATGTAAACACTAAATTAACATTATGAATATGGCCCCAAAATGCTGACAAAGGTCTTCCCAAATAATGGTGTCCTTACCTTTCATTCTGAGAGCCAAAATTTTGCTTCCAGGATGGTATTTTCCTCATCCTTGTTACCTACCTGGGGAACCCCCTCCTAGCACTCTTTCCCTCCTGTCTTACCAGAGGCCCCACCCATTACTTAAAATGAATGACCATTTTAATACTTACTCATTGTGCATACCATAAAGAAAGGAAACAAGAATAATTACTATAATTCTCCATTCTCTCAGATTCCCGCCCTATTTTGCTCTCCCCAAACCTCAAATTTGCTAATCCCCAGGCTGGGACAACACCTGCCTTCTTCAATGACCAGCCTGCTTCCATTTTTTCCTCCTGGGTCGTGGGTCCTAACTCGGCTGCTATGTTGTTGATTTGCCTTTGATTCTATTCACACGTGACATTTTGTTCCCATCAGCTGTGCTTGTCCTTTGAGATGGTACTGGAGAAAGTCAGTCCAAAAGCTTTGGGGTCAGTTTTGTTGTGGAATAAAACAGGGGTGATATGGAGGCTTTGCTTTCTAAGCTCACAAAGAAATCCTCAAAAGATTCTGAGCTGAGGCCTCCTCTAAAGCACCCTTCACTCCATGTCCTCACAAGACCTTGCTGGTCCTGCCCAGAGGCAGCTGAACAGACCAGTCCAGCTCCCAGAGTGTGCCCATCCCAGGGGACAGGGGTGGGGCAGAGGGAGGGTGACCCATTTTGAGCAAAAGGGATAGTTTCAGCCACCTTCTTTTCTGGTAGGACACCAGGGAGGTCCAGCGGCCCGTGGGACACAGAAGCCCCACCCTCTGCCTTGTCCAAGTAAGCCCAGCTTGGTGACGAGGCTTTGCCCGCCATTGTTTGGAAAGGCAAGAAATGGAATGTGTGATTTTGCTCACAAAAGTTTTAGAAAAGTATTCATTCTATGAAGTCCCAAACTCCTTATGATGCGCTGTGACTGATCTCTTTATCTGTCCTTTTTAACTCTCACTGTGTCACTTGAATATTGAGTGGGTTCTGACCAAGTCCAGCTGCCCGGTTTCCATCCCACTGCTCTCAGGGCTCCTGGGGGCGCTGTGCTTCAGCCTGGCCTGGCACCTGCCAGAGCTCCTCTGAGCCCAGTCCCTGGATCTGTGTGCAGAGTGGCTTCTGGCCTCTCACCTTTGCTTGTGTTCACTTTTGCAACTCTGACCTCATGGTGGAGCTCTATCTGAAGTGACCTATTTGGTTCTCCACCTGCCTACAGCAAGGAGCTGAACTTTCTGTAAGGACTGGGAATCCGAGCATTTGTACTCGACTCGAATACAAGGAGGTTCTCATGTGTTATGGCCGTGTCTATGGCATTTTTCCTGCACTACGTGGCCCTGGACCAATAGGTAGTTTGAGTTACTGCCTTCTGATTTTCATTTTTGTCATTAAAGAGTTGGCTTTAGGTATCTCTCCCTTATATGTACTGCACGGGTATCTGTTTTTAATATGCTGTAGACAAAAGTGACAGATCCCCAAAGATATTAGAAGTATAGCTAAAATTATCACAGGTGCCCAGGAGTGAGGCCCTGGGGGAACAGGGTTGGTGTCCAGGGGTTAGAGTATGTGTTTGGGCTTTGGGAGATTTCGTTGGGTGATCAAGGACTTTTTTTTTTTTTTTTTAACTCTTATTAGCCTTGGTTTTTTAATCTCTAAAATGAATTATCCAAACAGACTGAGGGAAAGGGTGTTGGGGGGGCTGGGTGAAAAAGGTGAAGGGATAAAGCAAAACAACAAAAACATAGACACAGACAACAGTGTGGTGATTACCAGAGGAGGAGGACAGTGGGGGAGATGGGAGAGGGTAAAGGGGGATAGAGAGTGACAGAAGAAGACTTGACTTTGAGTAGTGAACACAATACAATATACAGATGATGTATTATGGAATTGTACACTTAAAACCTATATTATCTTATTAACTAGTCACCCCAATAAATTCAATAAAAATTTAAAAACAAAACAAACAAACAAACAAAAACCTTCCGTGGCCTCCTCTCTGACTCAGAGTGGACATCAAAGCCCTTTCAGTGGCAACAAAGCCTCATCAGGGGCCAGTTTCTTTTCTGATCTTTGTCTTCGGTTCACAGACCTTGAATTTGATGCCATCTTCTGTGCATATGTGAATCTGTGCACTCTTCCGGGGAGAGCCCACGTGGCTGTCACCAGATTCTCAAAAGACTAAAAATCTCCCCAAAGCTTAAGAATCCCTGCTTGGAGGAAGCCTCACACTTGAAAATGCAATTTTAAGAAGGGACTTGTTCACATTATAAAATAATTTGTAGAGGATTCTTTATTTGACAAATGAAATCACTTAAAAGGTCCGACAATATGGTGAAGTGGATAAAATTAAGTACATGCACTGATTTTTATTGACTCTTTGTGACCCAAGTGTATCAGTTTTAAGGGGATTCAGAGTAAATCCCATCATAATAAAATCTGTGTGTAACAAAAAGAAAATAAAAGAGTTAACTATCTTGTTTACAGGAGTTTTCAGAGATTTTTTAAAAATAAATGTGTTAATGGAGTACTATGCTGTGGTAAAAAAAGAAGGAATTCTTACCATTTGCAACAGCATGGATGGAACTGGAGAGCAGTATGCTAAGTGAAATAAGCCAGTCAGAGAAAGATAAATATCACATGATCTCACTCATTTATGGAATATAATGAACAACATACACTGATGAACAAAAACAGATCCAGAGACAGAGAAGCATCAATCAGACCATCAAACCTCAGAGGGAAGGTAGGGGTGGATGGGGGTAAAGGGGAGAGTTCAACCAAAGGACTTGTATGCATGCATATAAGCCTAACCAATGGACGTAGACAACAGGGAGGTGAGGGCATGAGTGGGAGGGTTGAGGGGGTAATGGGGCAATAAGGATACATATGTAATAACAATAAAGAAATTTAAAAAATAAAATAAAAAATAAATGTGTTTTTTTAAAGCATAGTTCACATACAAAGAGTACACAAATCATAAGTGTACCATCAGATGAATTTTACAAAGTAAGCACATTGGTAACCCAGGTCAAGAAACAGAACATCATCAGCACCTTAAAAGCCCCTGTTTTAAGCCCATTGCCAATCCTTCTACTCCCCAAAGTTTACTACAGTCCTGGCTTCCAACATTAGAGATGCGTTCTGAAGTTTCTAAAATGCAATCATGCACACTGTGTTCCTTTTGTGTCTCTCTTCTTCGGTGAGACTCAGCTTTGTGTCATGTGATACTGCTTCATTTTTATTGCTGTATAGTTTTTCACTGGGACATGTACCATAACGTGTCCATTCTTCTGCTCAACATTCAGGTTGTCCCCGGGGTCTTTTGGCTCTGTTGAATTAAGCGGCATTGAAAATTTTACTATCTTTTGGTGCACATATGTACACACTTGTTGGGTAATACCAAGAATGGAATTGCTGGGTCATAGGCTATGGCTTACTAGATATTGCCAAAGTTTTGCTAAGTGATTGTATCAATTCATCTTCCTACCAGCAGCAAATGAACGTTCCAAATATTCTAAATGATCAGGGAAATTTTCATTGAACTGTCTAGTGAATAATGTGTTTGCCAAATGAATGCCCCGAGCAAGCGGTGAGGCAGTGGACTATGGCAGAAATCACACTCACGTGAAACCCCAAGTGAAGCGTGCCCTCGTTCTGGAATGAAGTCCTCATTATAGAAACAGTGCTGATCTCCAAGAACACTTCCATCTCGGTCTTGGCTCATTTTGTGATTTTCATGAGAAGTGCTCCATTCATCACATACTTTCTGGTGTCTCCCTGTGCCAGGCGCAGGACCAGCTGTGGGTGACGCAAAACACCAAGATGCACACACGTGTGCCATGGATGCACTGCTTTCACTGCTGAGATTGACGAGAGCAAGGACTCTGACCAGCTAAAGGCTTAGGAAGAGGGCGTGGGAAATGAGTGAGCAAGATGTGCAAGAAGAGTTCTTGGCCCCAGCGTGGTGTTATTTTGTTCCAGGCAGCAAGGCTGAGCTGGCAGAACAGTCCTGATCCAAAAGGAGCCAAGGGCAAGGCAGTGCTTGGGCCACTGTGGGCAAGCCACCTCGCTGCTTGGCAACATACACCTACCGCCTCTGCCAGCCTCCTGCCTGCAACACTCCACTACATCAAAGTCTGGGCTGGGCCGTGGGCCATAGAGCCTGTGACCCGTGCTCAGGCCCAAGCACAAAAGAGACTTGGAGAATGCCGATCTGGCATTTTCAGCTTCTTTAGAGAGAAGGGGACCCCAAAACCCAAGAAAGGGTTCAGATATGAGACCACTAGGGCTATGGTTGCTAATAAGATTTAAGGCAATTACCATTTGTTCATCTTTGCTGGATTTTTATTTAAAACCACAACTAAAGAGCATCAAAACATTGTTTTATTCTTCATTGTTTTCTAGAGTTAAAGCTCTCAAGATTCACATCTTAGATCCACCTCACCCTAAAGGGCACAACTGTCACAAGTTCGGAAATGACACACCTTCTTAAAATCATGCCAGGTATGCAGGAGGACTGGTCAAACGGAGGGGTGGACTCAACCAGCCACCGCAGCTCCCCATTATCTGAAGCAGCTAACAGGACCAGTGTTTGTTCCCAGACCTGGAATATAATGGCTCGTGATTCCTCAATTAAAGGTTTGTCTCCTTCAAAGACCTGACCGGGTACTTTTTCTCAGAACAATGGAAATCTCACTCCCACTTGCCCTGGTTTACAGCTGTGCACTAACCAATGAACGCATGCCTTAATGATGACCCAGTGCCATCATCCTTAGCCCTCAGCCCTCCTGGCCACTCCCCTGTGGCTGGCCAGACGGAGCTGGCTTTTTTACTGCTGAGTCCTCCTCACCTGGAAGACTGTGAAATCGCAACTCTGGCCTTCTTCTTCCCATTCTCACCTTTCCCCCTGGTGTGCTTCCTCTGGCAAAGTTGCCTCATTCTTTCATGAAATTTCTTACCCCAACCTCTGCTACAGGACATGTACGCAGTCAACTCGGTCTGAGAGGAGCCTTCAGCTTCATGTCCAGATGAAAGAGGAGGACAGACTTTTAAATGGGAGAGTTCATTGGAAGAGAAGAGTTTTCAGTGACCAGAGAGAGGGGTAACCTTTCCTTGCTGCTGGAGCAAACTGAGAGATGAAGGAGGAGGGAGAGCAAGGGGACCACCACACCCTCTCCTCCCTGAGATGCTGCCCTGAGCAGAGAGAAGGGAAGAGCTTGAGGATTAGAATGGGAGGAGGGTGATATTTTAAATTAAATGGCACTGGGTGTTTACAACTCTCAAAGTAAAAGTGAGGCTGAGATGTTGATGAGTCAGAAATGGCAATGCAACTTCAGTAAAATAAAGCCATTCCCTGTTTGCACCCCAGCAGGCCAGCCTGCTCAATAGACCTACTCAATTTTCTTCAGCCCCGGGAGACTCTGCCTACCCGGAGGGACGCTTCTTACTCCGTGTTTATTCCAGACTATCTATGTCTGACCTAAGAGCACAGACTTTGGGAGGATAGAGTCAGTCTGACTTAGAGGTTACGCTGCTCAACCGCCCGCTCATCCTTCCCAAGGGGAAATGAACCAGGGCCAACCCCAGCCCAGACAGGAGACTGAAAAAATGGAAAACGCAGGAAGGAAAAAATGTGTAGAGACTATTCTTGCAAAACCTTAGCCCAGATAAAGAAGTCAAAACCAAAAATAATCAGAGATCAGACTGGTAAAGAGGAGGGCTACTTGAGCCAGAAGGCAACATTAGCTTCCTCACATCCTCAGGCGAACAGGGGTCAGACAATTCCTTCAGCTCATATATGGCCTTAGACTAGCCAGGGCACATCTATCCAAGGCTTTGGTTTTCCTGACTGTCAGAATAGACACCAGTAGCTTGTTCCAGCAACCTCACACAAGTGGCATGGAGTCAAATGTGATTGCATGGCCTGAAATGAAACAGAAACTCTGAAAACTGCATAAAGCCACTCTACCCAGAATATTCCCAGTCGTCATCTGCTAATTACTGAGGCCCCTCTGGAGACTGGTTACCTCTGTAATTCTCCTAAGGATATATTTAGGCTATTCTTGTTTTGTGACTATTTTGGGGACTGCAAAAAAACCAGCATTCTACTAAATTTAAGCATGCACAGCTTACCAACAAGTTGTGTTTCAAAAGCAGATTTGCAGGTAGGCTAGAGATCCGTTTTACATAAAAACCATGTTAAAAGGAACCTGTTATACATATGCAAACCAGTAGAAAACAATAATGTTACAAAGCACAAAGCCAAACAGGAAAAATATATCTTAAGAGTGGCCAAGTAATAGTACATTCACTATTTAATACAGGTACTTTAAACTTCTCCATTAATGCTTGAATGCTGCTATTTCTTGCAGCTTGAAGACTTACGCTGGGCATAAAGCAAGTACAACAGGGGGAGCGAGGATATGGAAAATTATAATGGAATTCCTGGCAAGTCAGAGCAACCCACACATTTCTCCTCTAGGACTTCCTGGAGCCAGTTTCCTCCCTGCCTCTGTCCAGGGACCACCTTCTGGCTCCACGCCACCCACAACACATCCCCCCATGTGTCTCCCCCAACTCTAGCATGGAGGAGAGCCACACACAAGGTTCATGTTTAGGGGAAGGAGAGGCTGATCTTTCTATTTTAAAATTTACTAGCATAATCTAATTGCAAAAGAAGTCCTTAATTGCCCGGTTCTAAGCCAGCCTGATCAGGTGTGCTGTGCCGGCAATGGGTCCGGACCAAGGGGTCTCGTGGGTCCATTTTAACTCCGTCTGTTTCTTTAAGTCTAGCATGGGTTTCCCCAGCTAGGGCTGCAGACCACATGGCCGGGACAGGCTACATCCTATGTGAGGCTCAGTACAAAATGACAATGCAGACCCTCTTGTTCAGAACTACTATGACTTTAGTGACAGCAGAGTATTCAATCAAACATTAGCCACTTATGTATGGACCCTGTGTTTACTGCCCAGGTCGCAGACCACTGAAGCCAGCCCTGAATGTGGCACCAACCAGCCTGGACGACCTTGACCCTCCTGGGTCATGTCCCAATTCCTGTGCAGATTTTCCAAGTGACTTCCTTTAGCCTCTTTCCATTGTGTGGACTGGGCAAAGAGCCCTTAAGAAAGGCGCCTCTGGTTCCTGGCCTCAAAGACTCCCTCTGCTTCCAAGGCCCCATATCTAGCTGGCCGAGCAGAGAGTGCTTTAACCCAGCACTTAGGTTCCGCCTCTCATGTGGTCCTGCACAGAACTTCCCCTACTAAGAACTTTCAAAAATAGGAACACAGTGCTCCAGGCCAAAGGCAATAGACACAGGGCTGCAGTGGCCACGCTGGGTCCTTCCTGTTTCGACATCTGTTTTTCACTGGTCTACACCTTCCGTCGCTGGCTGCATCCGGGCCCTTCTTTAGGTCTTTAGCCTAAACCCCGTGCGATGATTAATTCTATGTGTCAGTTTGACTGGGCCATGGATGCCTAGATATTTGATCAAACATAATTCTGGGTGTGTCTGTGAGGGTGTTTCTGAGTAAGATTAACGTTTGAATCTGCAAACTGAGTAAAGCAGATGGCTCCTCCTCCCCCATGAGGGTGGGCATCATCCAATCAGTTGAAGGCCCGAATAGAACAAAAAGGCTGACCCACCAGTGACTAGGGGGAAAAAACCAACAACGCCTGGCACATTGGTCTTCACCTGCCTTTGGACTCAAACAGAAACATCGGCTCTTGGGTCTCCAAGCCTGCAGGCTTTCAGACTGCAGCTTCCACCATCATACTGGTGCCTACACCATCCGCTCTCCTGAGTCCCAGCTTGCTGACTGCAGATCTTGAGGCTTTTCAGCTCCATAACCTCAGGAGCCAATTCCTTATAATAAATCTGTCTATCACCTATCTAAAATAAATGTTTATTTTTTTTATCTGTCAATAGTGTCAACCAATGGACCAATTTAATGCCAACAGGAATGTCCAATTGTGGGTGCAGTAAAGAAGGAAACTTTATTTAGTACCAACAGCTCAATGGTAACACAGCATGGCTGTGAAAATAGCACTGCTTTGGAACAGCTTGAGCATCTATAATAATAAAAGCTTAATATGCTAATTAGACCAGATGTCCTTCCAGATGACCTTCTGGACGAAGCCAGGGCTTTGAGGGAAGCCCAGGTTCCAGGTACCTGCTGGTGGCCAGAGGAAAGCCTGGGTTCCTGGTCCCAGGGGGAAGCCGGTGCCGGCAGCCAGAAGGAAGGCCTACTCTTGTAGAATTTTGTGCATCAGGCCTCTAGTAAGCTTAATAAAATCTGTCTGGAAATTTCTCTGGGGTTCCTTTTTTAAAAAATATATTTTTATTGACTTCAGAGAGGAAGGGAGAGGGAGAGATAGAAACATCAATGATGAGAGAGAATCATTCATTGGCTGCCTCCTGCATGCCCCCTACCAGGGATTGAGCCTGCAACCTAGACATGTGCCCTTGACTGGAATTGAACCCCGGACCCTTCATTCCACAGGCCGACTTTCTATCCACTGAGCTAAACCAGCTAGGGCTGGGGTTCCCTTTTGATTTCTGTCTTGGGGAACCTGAGAACCCTAATGCCAATATTAAAGAGATGCACTCTATGGAGGTGAAATCTTGCACATTTGATCATTTCGTTACCCATGTATTGAATGTTTATTGAACACCTAACATATGCCTGGTGGTGTGCTGGGGACTAGGAGTCAAGCCCCGATCCTGGTGCTCAGAGGGCTCTGGTCTGGAGCAGTGACAAGCATCAGAACATATCTGACCATCTTTTGGCTTAAATTCACAAAGAAGAGAGATTAGTTGGAGAGCACCTTGGTGCTGAGACACATGTCCTAGAAATTATTTTCCTGAATAAATTCACTAAGTTACATTTTGACCTCTTCCACTTGCAGGAATTTATAATTTTCCAAGGCTATAAGTTCATGTTTTCTTAAACAGATTGATCTTTTGTTAAGAAAACAAGAATAAATAAATGGTATAATCATTTAACTCCATCAGAGGTAACAAAACTCTATGCAGCCAGATGCTAAGTACCATATATTTCACCATCTGAAAGACAAAAGGCAGTGACCCCTGGCCTCCTCTATAGGCTCAGTGACATCCTGCCTGATCGCCAAGGGCCTGATTGTGGCTCCCTGGATGGATTATGGCAATAACATACCCAGTCATGGGTTATTGGATATTGAGTGCTTATTATATTTTAACACTTTATCCTTTTTAAACCTCTCAGCAACTCTGTAAGATAGAACAACTACTACTCCTTTTTTACAGATGAGAAAACTGAAGCATCAAGAATTAAGTAACTTGCCAAGGTCCCACCTTGCTAGCAAGTAGCAGATCCGGGTCTTGAACACAAGTGATCTGGTTTTTGTCTTTCACCACTTTAGACCTGACCTGGCAATAGCATGCTTGAAAGACTGTTTTATCTCCTTTCCTTTCCTCCTACTCTGTGTCCCCCTCAGCCCAGCAGCGATTTCGGTGGTGACTGGCCTTATGTTCTTTTTGCTTTTAGAAGATTGGAAATACTTTTACCACATCTCTCTACCTCTTGTTTGGTTTATCTTTTCTAAAGCTGAAAACAAACAAGAGAGAGCCGGACCTACGCCCTCAGGCGGCTTCTGAATGAGAGCCTTCCAGAACTGGGGGCCAGCACTTAGCAGACACCAGCCCAGATCCAGGCTGTCAGTGACTCGGGGGAGAATCTGAGAGGCTGACGGGCACTCCTGT